TATATTGAAATTTAAACTTTAAATATAAATACACACAAACTGTAATTTTTATTAATATTAATAAATTTTTTTTCTTTTAAGATAAATTAGTTAATTTTTAAAGATACGTCCAAATAATTATTTATCTTTATTTTTTCTATAGAATATGCATGGAGTTTAAAGAAATTATATGAATAAAAACAATTCCGAAAAATAAAGTAGAATAATAAAAGAGAGATATAAAAATAAATAATTAATGCTAATACTAATTGTGCAAACCAGTAGTATCTAAAGTTGAAGTAATAGCACATGCAAAATATAATAATAAATAAAAAACTATAAGTAATATAATGAATGATTAAACAAAAGACACACACTTACCCCAGAATCTATTCCTTGAGTATTGGGTGTTGTTGACCGTTGTTGTAGATTGTGGAAACTCTAAAAACAAAAACAAAAATTAATTTTATCATTAATTGTTTTATTGAAAACTTTATATTTGAAAAATGTTTTTAAATATTGTCATCCAAAACTATTTGTATTAAAAAAGTATTCTTTCAATATTTTACTTTAATGATTCAAAGTTGTTGTACCTTAAACTAAAAACTATTATACAAATGAATTAAAAATCTGAATTCATTTTTACATCTTATTCTAGAATAAAGAAAAGAATTAACAAAATATTTAACTTATGAATGTATTAGTCGATGAAAGTAATTCCAAGTACAAGTAAAGGTAAAATAAAATAAAAGAACTTTTAACTTTAACTTTAATTGTTTTAAAACAATTTTCGATTGAAATATTGCAGATATTTCTATCTTATCACATTTCCTTTATTTATCATTTTTTCCTATAATGCATGGTTTTCTTATTTTACGATTTCATTATCTAATATTTATCACTCAATTGAATAACAGAAGAAGTAATATAGTAATATCATATTAAACCAAATAAAAGGATTAATTATCATTCATTAAAGATTTCTAAAAACACATTTATTAATTTATCTTTAATTAAGCAATTATATCTTTTATTCATTAAATAATCTTATTAATTGAAATATTAATCAGTGCATACAATATTTTCAACAATACCTTCCTATAGAAATGTTTGTTTTAATAACAAACTTATATTTTGTAACTCGGTAAAAAATAAAATTATTCAATTTCTATATAAATTACTAAAATAGAAAAATCATTTCAATATATTCTTGACAACATATGACTTAATTGTCAAAGTTGTCAAAAATAAAAAGCAAACATGTGACATATATTTAATACTCACTTGAGATTGGGTTGGTTGAGGTTGTGGAGAAGCAGATGGTGGTGGTGCTGGGGATTGAGAGAGAGCTCTTTGAGGTGACTGACTTGAAGGATTTACTTGATTAGATGGAGGTGGAGGTGGAGGATTTGGAGGTCCACCTTGATTCCATCCTCTTTGTTCCGTATATAGACTGGAAGGATGGCTTGTTTGTGTTGTATATGAATTTAACTAAAAATAGAACAATAATATTAGTTAATAGTTTTATATATATACAATATTTAGTAGATTATTATTTATATCTTTAAGAGTTAATTACCTGATGATGACTGTAAGGTGTATGGGGTCTAGCAGGAGAAGTATAACGTTGGGCATATTGTTGATATGGCATTGGAGTTGGAGAACTGGGTCCTCCTGGTCCTCCATGTAATCTTGGTGAACCCTATTTGTTAATATTGAATTTCATGTAAAATACCATTCATATAATATCATTCAATTATATAATTAAGTGATATATATGTTTGAATGGTTTTGTAGTATTCAATTTTATTTAATGCATGTAATAAAATTCCCAAATTTATTTTATTATAAAAATATTATGTACAATATTTTTAAGATAGTTATACTTCTTCATTATTTTACAAGATTCTATTATTACGCTTCTATATTTGTTATACCTATATCAGCAAATTGTTACGCTTCTATGTTTATTATACCTGTATCAGCAAAAATAATTATTCGAAAATCTAAACAACATAATATTGAATGTTTTTACTTGTGAACTAATGGTATTAGAATTACCTATAAATAAATAGAGTATATACTAAAAGGGTATATTTTGAAATTGTGTTTGTATTATTTACCGTTTGTGGAGGACGTTGGCTAGGTTGGGGATATACAGGTGGTACAACCGGTGGTCGTTGCATAGGCCACGGCTGTTGATAAGATTCAGGTCCCATCGCAGGATAATTCCCATGGAATCGATGAACAGGTGTTGATGCCTGAAGTAACTGATTAAGAGTAGGCGTAGGACCTGTAGCCTGGGATATACTTTGACCTGATAGAAACCTTGTTTGGCTAGGAAAGTTGGCAGGAGTACTTCCTACATACGCTAATCTTGATTCAACCTTAGATGCAGTGTAATGTTCTTCCATGTCCGGTCGATGAATTCCTGGAAATTCTCCATGTTTCGTCACGTATTCTGGTATCTGTTTACCTTGATAATCTGTTAACGGTTTGGCGGAAAATTCGTTAGATTTATTAGTATACTCTTCAGAGTAGTCACGTATAACATTCGGTGCAAACGGATGTCCAGGATGACCTGCATGTCCAGATGCATCGAGGGCCTCCTGTTTACCGATAGTCTCTTGAGGAGCTTGGCCGGCCTCTCGTGGAGATTTTATTTCACCGGCAGTGTGTCCACCAATGTCCTCGCGGTATTGACTCATCTCGAAAGCCGTGTCCCCACCGCGATTCACATATTTAAGCAGCTGGGCCGCGCCCCGGGACACTTTATCACCCGGCTCTGGATCCAGCTGCTGCTTTGTACTACCACTTGCACTATTTCCACCAACTTGTGGACGTTTCTGTGCGCATTTCACGGACTCGTTCAGCTTCACATCGTTTTGTTGGCTCTCGGCTTGCGTCGCAGCCATGTTCTCTCTCCTCACGGAGCCATAGTCGTTTCATAAACTGGCCAATCGCGGGACCTCGTGTGTCTCGCGTACTATATATTTATAATCGAAATCCTGATTAGTTGAGCGTCTTGTATCACGGATAACTCTTTCCACCGCATTCTCGGTCAAACGAGCGAGGACCAAGCAACACACTAATGGAAAAATTACTTCTTCGCGTTTTCAACGTAGAAGGAACCAAAAAAAAACTCATACACGAACGTCAAAAGCAGCGTCGCACGTATTACGCCATCTTGCGACCACGGTATATATCATAGTCTGAACCCAATGCTCAATCATAGGACAGAAAACGAAGCTGTGGGACAGAACATCGCCCAGAGTTAACCTTTACTTTAACTTCTAATTTGCATTCTGATTGGTCGATACACGATTCTTCTTATATAAATTTTAGATAATTTTATTCTGATTCATTGGAAATATATAATTTTATCATGCTAAGATTAATCGATGACAATTCAAATGAATAACAAAATAATATTAATAAAAATAACAAAGTAAAAAATAAATCTTTCTTCTTTTCTTCATAAAAATGACAAAATATTATATCCAAATATCTAGATATCCTGAACGCACCAATCAGCGTTTTATATAACTTATTCGCTGATTGGTAGAAATCGTAATAAAAATCATTCGAACTGTGTTTCGTAATTAATATCTCGATTAAATCTTTTTAAGACTAATTTCAAATTGAGAGAGAGAAATTTGATAGTAGTATAATTATATAAGCTAAGTATAATTTCGAATTTTTGATAAAGTTAGTTTAATATAAATGTGTTCAAAACTTACCAGTTTGTGTAGGTAGATAATGAGAATTTACAAAAATAATCATATTACTTTTCTAAAATAATATTTGTTTCAGTTATATATAGCTTATTTAGTTAAAAATACAAGTATTGTTTAATTTTATTGTATAAATTAAATATTATCGTTTGAAGTATAAATATAATATAATTAAATATCATTTGAATTTGTCCATTTGATGTCTTATTCAACGTACGAGATTATAGATTTGCCTTTGACTGCGCAGATACGTCATGAATACATAATAGAAAAAGAAGAATATATATATATATACATATATTACAGAAAGATTACAGAAAATAAAAGAAATTAATATTANAATAAGATTTTAATAATTATTTATAATAAATATGATAAAAGTTCTATTGTTGCGATGGATCCAAAATAATGTTTTCTATTCAGCTTCTCAAAATTTTACATTGAAATTATCAAAATGTACTGTTGCAAATTTTAATAGTGTAATAAACAAGACTGACAAAAGTAACACTGCGAATTGGAAAGATTCTTTACGTATGACTATGAAAATTTATCCTGACTTTATTGTTGAAGAAGAAGAAATTTCTTTGATGAAAGAAATTGACCCATACATGCAACGTTTACGATATGAGTTTGCACATTGGGATAACGTTAGTATAATTTACATGACTTATAGTAGTTTTACTCCAACAATTTTATTCTATTCTTTTAACAAATTTACATTCTTTATAGGCTATTCATGGTTACAGAGAAACAGAGAGAAGACAATGGAATGAACAAAATACTAAAGTAATTAATCGAATACGTGAAAAAGCATTTCCATTAGGAATGCCACAGTTAAGTTTAGTACACGTTTTAGATTTAATGGCTGATGGATGGATAAAGCCGCATGTTGACAGTATTAGGGTAATGTTTTATTTTTAATTGTAATATAATTATAGTTATCTTTATTACTCTCTCTTTTCTAAGTTTAAGTAGTAGTATGTGGTGTGTCAAGGCAGTCACTTATCCAAGTAATAAACATGTTAATTGTTATTTTTCTAATGGAAACTAATTTTTTCAACAAGGGGAGTCCATTGACAATTATAATATAATTATTGTATTTGTTCAGAAAAATATTCTTGTATGATTTCCATTGTGTGTCGTGATGCCGTTCATTCTATCTATTACTATCTTGGAAAAATATTTTAACTATATGTAATATTTTATAAACAGTTTTGCGGAGATGTTATTGCTGGACTGAGTTTATTGAGCGACAGTGTGATGCGCCTAACAATGGTTGGTCACGAACAGGAATGTAGAGAAGATTTTCTTCTTCCTCGTAGATCATTATACGTTATGAGGTAATGATAACCACACTAGCTTATGCATAATATCAATAGTTTAATTAACATCGCATTAAATGAATTTCAGTGGTACAGCAAGACAAATATATAATCATGAAATTTTAAAATCTGAAGAATCCTATTTTCAAGGACACAGAATACCTAGAAATAGGCGTGTATCTATAATATGCAGAAGTGAGGTAGACAAAAAACCAGAAGATATAAAAATTGATTAAATAGTAAGTATCATACTAATTTAAACATTTCTTGTTAAAATAATTGTAATTTATTAATTGAGAAGGAAAAGCTTTATTTGTAAATAATTTCTAATTACAAGAGTCAATCTTGCTTACTTTATAACTATTAACATATGTACATAAAATAGATCATTATAAAAAAAAAAAGATAATGTAGTACATAAAATTTTATCTAATTAAGAAATACATTAGCTATAGTGTCTAATGTGTTTATTTTTAATAAAAGTATGTGTAATATTTATGGAACATGTTTAAATTACCTTGAAACAAAAGTGAACTACCTTTTATTATTTTTATTTTGATAGTTTCATTTGTTACAGAAAATAATTTTTGTTAACTCAAGTAAAACTATTAAAACATCATCTATACTTATAATAATATTGTTAAGATTTATTCTAAGTTTTCTGATATGGATTTAATGGTTTACTTACCTGATGAAGTGGACGTAGATAAAATTACTCAGGTCAACGATTTTTTTTTTTTAAATTATTAATTATAGTATAAAAAGAGAGATATTGCATCTTTTATTTAAATTTATATTTTAAGTTTATAATAAATATTGTTACTTCTGTAGCTAACTCCAAGCATGGTTCATAATTGTGAAACATTAAAAATGGATATAAAAGAGGATATAATAACAGGATCTTCATATATAAGAAAATTTTGGAATTGTATGTTTTTTATATGCACAATAGCACTTGAACATCCATTTACAAAATGGCGATTCAAAAATAAAAAAGTATTAAATTATGAAATTAGTAGACACTTCAAATCTTATCGATATACGATACATCCTTTTAGTATTTTTAGGTTATTTATTTATATTATATTATAATTTTAATTACATAGAATAAATAAATTATACTCATAATTATAGCTCGCACGTATACGCATTCTTTCCATAGAAAATATTGGGAAGCAATAATGGTTATAACCGGCTTTATAACTCTAATTATTAATCCCATATTTCTTTCATTTTATATGAACAAGAAAGAACAATGGTACATATTTAGTAACGTCTTAGATGGTATTATTTTATGTGATACAATTATGTGCTTTTTTACTGGATATTACGATCATTGGACAAATATCGTTATTTTAGATCGTCGTATAATCGCAATGTATGTAAAGCAATTGAATTTCTTCATACTCATTTTACTTTCGATATTCATTACATTTATTATATTTAATAAAAAATGTTTTTCAATTAGAAAATATATAAAAAGTACTTTTATAGTGGATGTTTTATCTATTTTACCATATCAATTAATTGATTTTATAATCTATAAATCAGTTTGGTATTGTGCTATGCTGAAATTAGTAAAAATTATTAGAATACGAGCAATTATTATTTATTCTCGAAGACTCTGTTTTGTGAGTATTTTGTGAAACTATTTAAAATAATTTTTGCAATTAGATTTTGTAATATTTTTAGATATATCATATGGATCGTCAATGGTATCAATTATTTGAAATGATTATGATTATCATAATATCTATAAACTGGGCAGCATGTCTTGAATATTTTATACCATTGACGGTGTCCAATATTTATGGAAGAAACAGAGGGTAAATATTTCTAAAGTGAACTATTATTATCTGAATCATTTTTCATTTTCAATAATTCTTACCAAATAGAAATTATTTAAATAACAATATATAAATAAAATTGATGGACACATTTTTACAGGTCATGGGTTGATTCCCCTGCATTAAAGGAAAGAACAACAAATTATGGAAAATATTTAATTTGTTTGAACAGAGCTATTATTGCTCTAGTTTGTTCAGCTCATTATTTAGACACGAAAACGCCAGACGATATTTTATTAAATATTGTATTATCAATCATTGGTATTCTTGGCTTTATTTATGTTTTAGGTAAACAACGTAATTACAAATGGAACGTTAAAGTTTTGGATTTAATGTATTCTATATATTAGCATATTTTATTACGTGTATACTTTTAGCACAACTTATGCAGTTTATAATAACATTGCATTCGGCCACCAAAAAACACTATAAACATATTCAACAATTACAAGAATATATGAGGTATAAGGAATTACCGTATGCCTTACAATGCCGTCTATTAGAATATTTTAATTATTATAACAAAAAAAATTTAGATAGACATCAACGTATAATCAATCAAGTTTCCTCTTATCTGCAAGAGGTTCGAATAGATATTATATTTGTAATATATCCAAATAGAATTTATGAAAACGAACGAACCCTTTTATTCTTTCAGGAACTTATTTTGCACACTTACAGGAAATTTATTAGTAATGTGCCATTATGTCAACATATTCCAAAATCAGTTGTCTCTCAATTAACAAATATGTTACACTCTGTAATTTATTTAGAAAATGACATAATAGTCAAAGCTGGCGAAGAAGAAGATGGACTCTATTTTATCGCATCTGGCACAGTTGCGGTTTATACCAACTTATGGAAAGAGGTTTTTCTGATGAAATTAAATCATATTTTTTAATGACTAGTTATTTTTTCAATTGAGATATCAATTTATAAGAAAAAGTAATACTTTATATAAATATTTAGGTTTATCATTTAGGAGATGGAGCGTATTTTGGAGACTTAGCTTTATTCGTGAAAAGTATGCATCATACTGCTAATATCATTGCCATAGAAACTTGTGAGATTTATATATTATACAGAGTGAATTTTCAAACCATTATGGAATCTCATCCAGATTTATTTAATATTTTATATAATGCAGTGTTAAAGTTTGTGAAAAAACTTGAATCCTAAAATAGCTTCGATTAAAGGTTCCAATTTTTTTGTTATAACTAATTTAAATAGTAGTTAACTAATAGATCATTAATTATATCAGGCCTAATATTTTGCGCATTTTGTTTAATATTTAATTAATATTTTTAATATTTTCGTTATTATTTAATTTAATTTACGGTTAAATAAAATTCAAATGTTTAGTTTTTATTATTGCTCATGAATGTTGAGAAAATCTATTTCCCATATTAATAACTGTTTTCTCTAATTACTTAAATAATTACTGTAATTAGCAGTGAAAAAAACTTTTATACTTTCGAGGATTTTTATAAGATTGTTGATAAACCGTCATAAGTCTCCAATGTTCCGGATAATCAGTATCTCTAGAACCGTTTACGACACTAAAAGGTGGAGATAAAGTTTCTATACTAAAGGATCTTTTAGCAAATGGTGTTTTTGGTCGTGGTACATCTACCTTTTGTAGTAATCGTTTATTATTCGATTCCATACCTAAAGCGATTCCTACAGCTGATTTGATTAATCTGGGATCGTTTTCTTTTTTATTTTCATAGATCGCATCATTCCTGACAGAATATTGCGATCTAGAACGTTCCCGTAAAGTTGATTTTTGTGTGTTCATAAAATTCGTGCATTTACAACGATGCTGGCAATTGTTTTGATTTTCTTGTAAATTATTATGTAATAATTTATCTTTATCTTTTTTTAAGAGATTCCTCTGATAAATTTCATGATACTTACTATCGTCATGTGAACGCAAATAATCCCGTCTCAATTTTGGAACACCTTGTATGAGTTCAAAAATTGCAGGAGCAGCTCCACCTTCTGATCCATCGATGTGAGTTGGTTTTGGTGGATCATAAATTGGATCCACTGGAGTTTGCCAACAAATAGCTAAATCCATTTTCGTTTCTGGTTTTTTGTAGCCTAATATAGAATCGCAGTAATATTTGGATTCTATCTTGTTGCAACCGTTACTCTTACACCTACTGTTTTTACATTGTTCATTTAACAATGGCAAATGAAAAGATTTCTTTAACTTGAAATTCTTCATTACGTCGTCGTTTATTTTATCAGGAAGCGGCTGATGCTTTAAATTCTCTGCATGTAGCTTTTTTGCCATAGCGAATCTATTGTAGTTTTGTGGTAGCTCTTGATAATCTTCGTTTAATTCTATATTATGGTTTTGTCGATTTTTAGAATAATCGATCATTGTATTTTTAATTGATGAAATTTTTAAATTACCTGACACGTATTTGGGCAAACAACATTCGTGGGTTCTCTTACTTTTCGGAATGTCTATCACGCCTGGACACGCAGCACAACATTTCTTATAAGATATCATTTCAATTTTTTACAAACAAAAAAATCAATCGTACGATGAAATATAATAAATTAAATATTCATCCAAATATGACATGTTCGTTTTATATTTAATTAGAAATTGTTGAAAGCTCAAATAGAATTTCTCGAATGTTTACAGGAATGCGGGCCAGAAAAATTTAACTTTTATATATATGAATGTAACTGTTTGCTTGACAACGGACCATTCAATAATTTTATCTCAATTCTTTCCGTAAATAAGTTTATTTTATATAAAAGAAAAAGAATAAGAATAAAATTATTGCAACAGGTTGAAGATAAATATGACAATATTTTAATTTCGAATTCTTTCCGTGAAAAAGAAAAATTATAAAGTTGGATTTATTTAATTAATTTATTTATTTAAATTCACTGTAAAAAAAAATCAGGAATGATATTGCAGCAGGTTGAAAAAAAGAAGCAGAAATAAGTCAAGGACAAAGATTCTTTTTGTTTCTTTTTAGAGACGTACTTTCACTTATCCTTTTATTCTCTCTTTCTTCTCGGATTTAAAAAAAAAATAAAAAATAACGGTTATAAAATCATTAGGTTTTTCAAGTTAGACTGCATCATCAAATGAATCAACTATTTGCTATTAAGTGACCTTTTGTATGTGAATCGATATAGACTTTAAAGCGTTCAGTAACCGTATGAACGTTCTTGCGTGACACTATTAGTAATACCGATCTAGAAAATATTATTTTTCAAATTGTCCGACTTGTATAAAAAAATGAAATATAAAGAATTATTTATTTTTCTGAATAATAGGAAATACCATCTCGTTTAAGATTCTCCGAATCGTCCGCACGCAATTTCAAATAGAGACTAGAGCATTCATCTAATTATATAAAGAATGATTCACGACATACGTTTAAACGTACAGAATGTGTTGTTCGCGTGTACCCAGTTATAATAAAAATCAAGATTTACCAACATTTATTGTGTTTCATCCATTCGTTGTATTTGTACCGTTCGTTGGATTATCTCATAAAACGGAATAAAATAATAACAGGTAACTGTTGTGACAAGTGCCATGTGTTTTTGAATGAATGAATCAGATCGATAACTAAATAAAGGAGTTGTTCTATTGTGTAGTGCTTCGTAATTAAAAACAAGTAAAAATACGCAAACAATTAATTCGTTTTCCTATGTACTTGTAATGAATAATCTAACAAAAGATAATCACGATGAAATCCTATATATGGATGAAATTCCGGATGAGAAGAAGCAACTATTATCTGTCAAGGTGGAAAATGCATTGCCAAGCGTGGAACCACGCTTGGGTGGAATTCTAGAAACAGACAACACTTACAATCCACGGCCGACTTCGGGTCCGGAAATAGACGACCTAGAACCTGGGATTCTTTCACGTCCGGGTGACAAAGGTATCGACGATGGACTGTTTCCAGAATTACCACCAAACAATCCTAATGGACAATACCCTTCTTTTCCTTTGCCACCACCGATTCAACCATCGATACCGGATGTGAACATTTATCAGCACAAAAAGACTCTTGCACAAGGGATGATGGATCTAGCATTGTTATCAGCTAATGCCAATCAATTACGTTACGTTCTACAAACAGATGGTCGGCATCCTTATTATTATCCTTCACTAGCTATGATTAGTTCTAGTTTGCTTATTCAAATTATAGTTGGTATTGGATTAATTTGGAACAGCAGATATGACGTTAAAGTTGACGCGCAAATGTGTAAAGCTGATATGGCTAATAATTGGACCGTTATCGGTATATTTCTCGTTACGATTCTCAATGTTTTTATTTCGTCGTTCGGTGTAGTCGACCTAATAACGACTTCTACCACATCCTAACAGTTATATAAATTTATTTATGACGTCTTAACGTCCATTTTCTTGGAAATCAAAAATACTCTATTATTATGTGATAATATAACATATCATATATTCATTGTATAATCTAATCTAATCGGGGATTTGGTATTTTAATATTTTGTTTAACAGCATTTTTGTTTTTATAAGTGAAATCTAGTTGATCTATGATATTTTTAGAAACATTCATTTTAAAAATATTTAATTATACATATGTTTTTTTATACAAAAATATTACTACAGCATTAAATTCTAATGCACGGTGGCATAATTGTTAATATATTTTTTAATTGTAAAGCAAGTTCTTCTTTATTTTTTCCAAGCGTTTCTTTTATTTGACTCAGTTGAACAGTTACATCCTTCAACCATTTATTAGCTTCACATTTGATGTCGGGTGTTCTCAGTAAACGAGATGTACATTGAAAATCGTTGTAATTTTCTGCATCATCTTTTGTTTTTTTTGAGCAAATAAAATTTAATTTTTTTTTAATAATATGTTCCAGCAAAGAAACAAAACTAACTATTTCATCCCAATTTATACTACTTTTTTTAATATCTACAGATTTTTCATGCTCCTTGATCACAGTTATCTAAAACCAATTAGATTATATTACTGGCAACATTTTATATATATCTTTATATTTAGAAAATAATTAAATATAAAAAAAATATACCATCCAGTCATAAAATATATATTCTTTTTCCATCCACTTTAAATGTACATCCAACATCGCTCCTATGTTGTACAACTCTGATTTTAGTTGCTTAGATTGAACAAAATTTGAATCTGTATCTTGTAAGACGAATAAACTTTTAACAAATGCAATATCCATAACGTTCATATGAGCAAGACAATCAAAATTCAAGCTTGCACTGTGAGCTTTAGTTGACAATTTAGTTTTGATATCGATTAATTCCGATATACATTTAATATTAAAATTAACTTTACTATTGTGATGGATAATATTTTTTATTTGAGCATTCAAAGAACACGATGTTTCTACCGTAGATATTTCTTTCTAAAATAATATTCTATTTTAATGATGTGTTATTTTTAAAATTATTTTTGTTAAAGTTTGCATATTTACCAAAGATAAGTCAGGGGATGAACATTCCTTTCCTAAAATACTAGATATCAAGTTGATTCGTACAACAATGTTCAAAACATTTTGCGTCGCTAAAAGCCATGCAAATGCTAATAAAAGTACTCTATTGTTACGACAACTTTCAGATAAATTATAAAACTCAATCGCTGGGTATTGTAAATAGGCAAAATATAATTTTGTAGCAGATAATTTATCTGCAACATTATATTCGTTATAACAAAACAAAATGGTCCAATAAATAGCAACAAAGAATATATGTACACATCCAAAAAATTAACAAACTTACCGTATTCCTCAAAGTTTATATTATTTTGATTTTCTTTTGCAGCGTACAAACTTAATATGTGCAATATCGTCCATAATGTATCCTAGATAATAAAATATACATTAAGATAAGGTAATACTCAGAGTAAATACGATAAAAAGAAATTCATTGTTACATTGGGGAGACTTACAGATTGTTCTTTTGGATCATTAAATTTAGATAACCTAAAACATTCTGGTTGAATTGCAACTTTGATTGATAAATTCAAATGTTTGCATAACAATTCAATAATGTTTTTAATATCTGACATGATTTAAAGCTATGGTAAATAAATATTTCCTCACGTGATCATTCATTGTTATCATCATCAGACACGTGATCATCAGACACGTAATCATTAAACTTGATCAATTATTCGATCACGTGTAATAAAAATAAATGAAAAAACGAAACAATTTTGTCAAAAAAAAGTAATTGACTAAATTAATGAATTAATAATTACTTAGATAGTTATTTGTATATTTTATTACAGAAAAAAAATAAACAATGTCCAAAGTAAAATAAATACAATGTAAATAAATTTAAGTGTGTTTACATTTTTTCTACAATTAAAAATAGTTAAAAATGAAAGTAAAGTTAATTGTAGAACGATTAATAACCACTTCCGTGATAGCAGTTAAAATTTGTGGTATTTTTTTTCTAATCCTGATGATAAAACTCCCGATTAAATTTAACAGAGATGACGCATTCAACTGAGCTGAAGGATTTAACATTCCCACTTTTATTTCCAACACACATTTGCACCTTTTAAATATGCAATTATCTACATGCTATCATAAGGTGTCTATTTTTTTATTGGGCTATAAATATTTATTCTTGGTCATTTATATAGAGTCCATCAGCGTATACGAATAGCATTAAATATAAATCCTAAAACAAATCTTATTAATGAAAAAGCATAGTTTGGAATATAAATACAAGTTCGTGCGATGTTTATATTAAACTTGTCTACAATTTTTAATATCACGCAAGAAAATCCGGTTTGCAATATGCTTGTCGCTGTGTGGTTTCCTCTTGGCAAATGATCTCAAGTGACTAACATATGCTGGTTTTCCCCTACTAGTACTTTTAATCCTAACCTGACGTTCTTACATGATACCATAAGCTTTTAATGTATTTGTTCTTTATTGTTTTTAACACAATGAACTATTAATTCTATTCTCTCATTCTCTGATTACCATTATGTGCGAGCAAGTGTTTCCTCGAGTGGCAATTTAATTAGATTTTAATCGAACTAACCCAAATAAAACGTTTTATTTTCATTTTGTTATACGAACCAAACAAAGTTTAAATAAAAATGCACAAAAATATACATTTTTTCATACAATGCATATTTAATTAGTTATTTTAAAACGTCACGTTCCATGACTGACTCTGTATATATGTCTATATATTTAAGTATGTATGCGTGTATGCGTATATAAATATATATACATGTATATATAAGTGAACATATAAAGAGAAGGATAAAAGGAGGAAAAAGAAAAAAATAAATTTTGAAAGAGTAGGAGAATCACCTGAGAGAAGTCACAAGGAAACAAATTAAGAAAGTGATTTGTTATATCGAAAAAAGCATTCAATTGAATCAAGGAGATGACAAAACAAGATACTTTAAGTCGTATTTTCTTGAATGCCTGTGTTATATTATTGGTAAGTTTTTTATTTTTATATACGATTTATGAATAATTTTTATCTGTTAAAATATATATGTTACTCTCAATGTGTAATGCTGACATTGTACAGAATGCCCGAGCGATTTTTAAATTTTCATAGTTTGTTTCACTTACAATAGCTTGAGATCAATACCCCTTCTGTGCTCTAACACACCCCACTGAAGCACATTTTATAGATAGGCCGAAACCTTCTGGACATTCTATAGAATGACTGAGCAATCTGTGAAATACTGCTTATTAAACTTATTGCCTGTTTTATGTGGCATTCTATAGAATGTCCGCTAAATACATATACATATTGGCCGTAATATATACATCGTACGTTTTATATTTGTATTTTATAATATTATTTGATTTTAAGATAACAACAAATATAATATTAAGGTTCAAGATGATATTTATTTAAAAGATATTTGATATACATAGTCCTTGCATTTTACCCTACGCGGGAAATTCAAAAAGTACAAGTAGTGTTTTCTTCAATATTTGTTAAAATGACGATATCTTTCTTTCTTTTTACATTAACTCTTTATTAATTATTTTATAAGATGTTAACGTATAATTTGATGAGTATGTATATATTTTGGTTTATTTATACAAATTACATTTTTCAGGACTCGTGAACAGTATAAATTGTTTTGTTATCTTATGATAATATTTATTTTGCAGTTTTTTAAAAATGTTCGTACTTATCCGCAAGTAGAAGTTGATAAATCGATACAAAATGGAAACAAAACAATTTCTATACTAAATAGAAAGGATCAATCATCAATCTCTGAAACAAATCGCACACATAACCGCGATGTAAATTCAAGAGCTCGATTATTTCAATATGATAATCCAAAATTACTTAATCAAGCTAATGAACATGGTAAATGAATTGTTATGTATTAATAAATAGGATTAAAATAATGCATTAATAAATAATAGTATTAATAAATAAAATATATATACATATATTATTTTTTCGAAATTCTTAAATTTTATAGGAATAAGGCAAAAAATATTACTTGAGCAGCATTTTAATGCTGGTTAGCTACAATCATTTTTTAAATATTTTTTTTTAATGCTTATATTTATTTTATATATTTATTAATAACCATTCTTGTCTAAAGATTCCAAATTTTCTTTACCTAAGCTATAATGTGCAGTCTTCCTTTCTGTGTCCCTTATTCCTGTTTTTTTTTGTCCATATTTTCTTATACCTTTCTTTAACTCCTTCTTGTTCTCAGTGGCCTTGGATTTCTTTTTTTAAATATTTTTTTAATGCTTATTTAATACTTTTTAATACTTATACATTTGTTATTTTACATTAATGAACTTAAAAAAATAAATAAATAAATATAAATTATAAATATAATTTTCTATGTTTACGACTTTGATAGTAATATAAGTTAGAAATTTGTTAAATATTTTAAATCTTTGTATTAAAAATTTTGTTCAACAGAACATATAGACGGTAAATTTGTTTTTCCAACGGAAAATATACCATATACCGATTCACTATCATATATATCGTCACGAATACTGGCACCAATTTGTCATGGATCAACTTTTTGCGAAAGAATACTCGATTATCCCGAAGAAATAATAAATAATGCTATTCAGCAGAATAGTAGTATACAATTTTTTGCCACTATAGATGTGGTGAGAAATAGCTTTTTGTTTTTATATATTATATCAGATTTTATTACAAGATAAAACAATCAAATGTTTACTTATTTTAGATACCCGATGTTGGAAAGAGAATCGGTGTACATAATACACCTCTTTGTCTATCTACTGTAAGTTTTTATAATCAGAAAAATTCGTATGCATTATCATTTTGTTTTTAATTTATTAAGTCTTATTTTTAATATCTATTATCGTTCAATAGGAACATGTAATTTATCCAAGATCAGCGGAAAGTAAGAGCAAGGAATGGTTTGTAATTGTAAATCAAGACAATTTTAAACAAGGAGTACGAATCGAAACATGCAGGTTTGTAAAACTTTATTCGACATTGTAGAAATATTAGAAAACAATTAAGTAAAATCAAATAATTATTTTTAGTAAAAATTGTATATATTAAAGTAATAATATAATTTATTATTATTATTAACAGTAATGAAAATAGCCAGTGCAATATAATGGACAATCTTCCCGAAGGCTACAATACAATATGCAAACAAAAATACATTTATCGTCAATTAGCTGCCGTTTCAAAAAATGGTAAAATTGATGTAGATATGTTTCGTTTCCCATCGAATTGTTGTTGTCACGTTAAATTTACCGGAGACCCAGCTACCAGATTGGGAATATTTGGCGATCAAAGAAATAAACAAAAAACCGATATAAATAATCCTAAAATACCGATATAATAATCCTAAAAATAAAAGTATTAAAGCACTACTTTGATTTATTAAATTTATATGTGAAGTATTTTATTTTTTAAAAATAATGCTACATATTTTTAAATATATAATTATTATCATTTTTATTAGGTAAATAAAAAAAAAATCAAAATGAAATTAATATATAATAAATTTTACGATTATTAACTTTAAAAGGCTTTAATATATTAATTCGATGTCCCCCCACAACAAAATATTTTGATATCAAACAAATGATTACAATGTATTGAATTATGATCTTATTATATTTAATAAAAATAAGAACAAAAATGACACATCATAATTCATGCCGAACATAAAATTGACAAAATGTTATAAACTTCTTATATTACAATAGTGTAATTATTATTATAACAATGAATTGAATGATTAATTAATTAACTCGAATAAGTTATGTATTTTCTTCTTAATTGAGAACATAAAATATACAACAAATTACATCATGTGAAAGTAATCAATTTAGCTTACACATTTTAGTAACAAAACACATGGGCATATATGTATATTTTATATACATATAACTTATCAATTCGAATATATTGTATATTTCTAAGAAAAACCTAAAGCCATATTCCAAATCTATCCATATTCTTTCTTTCTTTCCGATATAAAAGACATATATTTAGTTGAACAAAAGATATTTCACTAGGGTAGCTGTAAAAAAAAAAAAATTTGTATCATTTATTATAACAATAACAAAAGGATTGACTTTTCAATATGTTTTTCTATATATGTCCTTTTTTCTCTATATTTAATTCTAAGAATATTTGGAGATAGAGGATAAATTAATTGTTGTATGTGTATATATCATGCAGAGCAAATTAAGTGTGCGAATTTAGAGGAAATATTTTCCCCCAAAAAAAAAAGAAAATCTATATTAAATATTATCATAACATTCTAATCAATGTTCGAAACATTGATCAAAAGAAATTTTCATGAAAGATTTTATACTTGCTATATTAAAAAAGAATGAAGAGAATTATTTTATTTAATTTTCTTGTTTATGTGTTTTCACGAATTAAAAACATGTAAAAAGCAAAATTTATGCAAAATAATCTACTACATTATACGACTTTGTACATAATGATGATCTAAATGTCAAGACCAATAAATATATAATTAATACAACTGCAAAGGGAAAAACATTATATTTTTTTATATCAAATAAACTAAAGTATTATAATACGATATACTATGATATCATGATGCACTTTGGAATGTTATTAACCCAAATGAAAACTGTAGCCATTGTAAAATTCAGTTCGAAATTGAAAGCCTGCGTCTGGAGGAAAGAACGTTGGGAACATTCCACGAGTATCCATGTCTGAAAAAACAATTTTTATTCTTAGATACATTAATGATTAACCAAATCATGATTTGTTAAATTATTGTTCACATTTAATTCATTGAATAATGAATAATAATTTGACAAACCTTGCATATTGTTATCACTGTCATCAATGTCATGGCCACTATCATAACGCAAACGTTTCTTCGGATCCGATAGAATACCATACGCTTCTCCAACTTCTTTAAACTTCTTTTCTTGTTCCTTCTTTTCCCCTTCAGTTGCATTAGCATGTCGATCTGATAATTATTCAAATAAATATTAAAATTATAACATTTTATTTTTACGCTATATTATATGATTTATTAATGTTTTTAATACCTGGATGATGGACCATAGCCCGTTTCCTATATGCTTTTTTAATATCATCAGTTGATGCGTTTTTATCGATACCTAATATTTTATAATAGTCTTTCCTTTTCGATTTTTTCAAAGCCATTTTCGCTCCCATAAGGAATCTCTTATTTTCTGTAAAATAAAATATTAAATATAGTATTAATAAGTTTTTATATTTTAATGAATAATAAATACTTGAATAATTATATGTATAATATTCGTACCACGACTGTTATCTATTTTACACGCTTTCTCAAAATCACGAACAGCATCTTCGTATTCATTTAATTCCAAATAAGATGATCCTCTCCTAAGCAAAGCTTTAAGATAATTTTCATCGAGTTTTAAAGCTTCTGTGCATTCTGTTATCGATTCCTTCACTCTTCCTAACTATAGTAACAAAGAAAAGTTTTTTTTATTTAAGTATACAACAAACAGAACATTTATTATTACATGTAATTTAGTATATAATGTTTGTTTCAACTTACTTTAATAGCTGCTGTTGCTTTATTAAAATGAAGTTTAGCATTGGTCATAATATTTTGAGGATCTATAGTTAAAGCCTCTGTAAATAAATTGTAAGCTTCTTGATAGCGTTTCATTTTAAATGCTGCATTCCCATCTTCTTTTTTCTTTTTTAAAGCTTTCGCTCTCTAAAAGTAAGGTAAAGATTAATACTACATACATTTTTTAATTTACAAATTAATTTACCATAATAAATTAAAAATATTTGTACTACCTTATAAATTTCCAATGCCTTATCGTGATCAGGTGCTAATCTTAATACTTGTTGAAAATGTGCGAAAGCTCTATCAACGTTATCTTGGAAATACAAACACATACCACGAATATAAATAGCATCCGCATTTTGTTTATCAATGTGCAAAACGTCACTGAAATATAATAAGTATATTCAAAGTATAAATAAATAAAATATAATTCAGACTGAATAAAATCTTTGTAAAATAAACGTTAATTTACTTGGCAATTTCTTGTGCTTCTTCGTATCTTCCTAAAAATGCGAGACATTCAGCTTTGATTAATTTAAATCTTGTGCACGATGTACTAACATCGCAACATCGATCCATACAATATACAACCTATTAACAAAAAAAGACAAAACATCGGTTTGCAAAGTATACTTCAACTACAGAGTTCAAATGATTAACGATATGAATATATTTGTCGGTTGTGGCAGACACATATTGATATGTATTTTTTTTCCATTGCTTTTGTATCTTCTACTATTCCCAAAATGGACCAGACGTTAAGAAACATCCTATATAATAGTACTAGATTTTTCAAAATCTTTGTTAACAATATTGTTAGCAGTGGAAATGAGCATTACATTTACACAAACCTCTAACCTTACGGAAATCTTTCACTGCGTAAGCAGTATCCGCATCCTTAAGATACTTCTGTATATACTCTAAATCCTTTTGTTCAGAAGCTACAGACGTATTATCAGGATCTAATTTCAAAAGTTTAGATATATTAGTTTCAGCTTCTATGATATCACCCAAAATCAATGAACATTTGATAACCCTGATGTATGCCTAGGAATATAAAAATCATATTTACATAAGAAAAGAAATATATATTAAATGAATAAATCATAATATTTCATTGAACATATATATAAGTACTTTGAGAAACAATGGGTCCAATTCAATGCATTTTTTAGCGTCAACTAAAGCGTTACGATATAGGCCAAGCATCATATAACAAGCTGCTCTGTTACCATAATAACGTGGTTCATCTGAACACATCTCTAGAATCACCATTATCATTTTTTTTATTATTACTATATTATTATTATTTCTATTAATTATAGAACAAAAGATTAGTTTCATTACATAAACTAGTATCTATATACTTACCAATAACTTCATTGTATCCAGTTAATGCTTTTTTATATTGTTTCAAAGAATAATATTGATTTGCTATTTCTTTCTTTGCCTCTGCCAATCTAAAGACAAATTGATACACAATTTTAATATAATTACATAATTTAAAAAACAAATATAGAATGGAAAATTTACTTTTCGTCGATATGTGAAAAAATTTCAAATGTAAATAAAACAATATAAAATGGACTTTACTCACTCTTCAACAACCGATTTGTCTACATTCATGGCGTTGGAGACAGGTTCCAATTCTTCGTTCATTTGTACTTCATTCGCCATAATTAATGTTATTAAGTACAATTAAAAGAAATAATGATAAATAAATTCATTCAATATAACATCGTATTAGTAATAAATATTATTGCACGAATAATTTAACGAAAAAAAAATATATTTTCGTGATAATGTACAAATGTTCAATGTTCAATATTCAATGTTACAACAAGAAAGGGCTAGAGATCTGTTTCGACAATTGTATTGAACTATGTGACACGCGATTACGATAAAATACTAGCATTCGTAATTTAAATACCAATTGGAATACCGAATATTTCTTTACTTAAAAGATATTTCATTCTATAACGTTTGAAATATTATTATGGAACACATATTTATAGATAAATTATATTGGCCAACTAAAACCCTGTCGTATTTTTTATCAGCGACTATATAAAGAAGTGGCTTTAAGGTGACTTAAGCAACTGTACTACAACCACGCGTGATTTGCAACCAACTTTAAAACACAGGATAGGCACAATTGGAACAAATAATTCCTAGAAAAATATTATTACCGATCACGAGTGAAACTTTTTTTTTATACGAAACAATAAATAATTTGTACAGTTCTTTTTAAAACAATATATATATATATATATATATATATATATATTTTTCGTAATAAAAATTAAAAAAGAAGTTATGTATAACAAAAATTAACAACAATCAAATATCGGAATACTTTCAAAGCGAATTTAGCTGCAATTAACTAAAATTTTGTTTTCTCTATAATACGACAAAGTATAACAATCAGATATAATAATTTGATATTTGAATGATGTTAAAAAGATGTTTTAATGATTTTGATTGTTTTTAAGAAGAGGTATTCAAAATATAAGATTATTAAATGCAATAATAATGAAATGATTATATATTAAACGTCTTTGCATATGTAAACCAATCAAATGTAGATTTCAATTTGTCCAATTTTAAAATTGGATCGATTAATTGTACTTATGTTAGATGTATTTGGGTAGTAGAATACATATAAGATAATCATTACAGAGGATCGTTTGTCATGTTTCCTGGCGGGTTTGAACGTACTGGAACATCAAAGAAGTGACAAAAAAAAAGTAACATGAAAGCAACTTTTGGTTAAGTTTCTGTCTTGCAAAATTTGTAATAACCGTTGTGTTGTAACGTGTGTAGTTTAAAAATAAAGTATAAATTATGTATTGTCCAAGTATCAGTACCTATAAATGCTTTATGTTACGTATAGGTTAAGATGTAAAGTTATTTTGATAGTATGATTTAATTTGATTTAAAAACCATAAATGTTGTTAGATTACATTGTAATTATTGCATTGTATCATTTGTTTCAGATTTGAGAGATTAAGAAATTGAGACAGCAAGCTTAAACTTTAATGCAAAATGGCAGGTAGTAGCGAACTTTGGATACAATGTTTTAAGTGTTGTTTGCAACAACAAGAACCACGTTCACGAAGTGGGAAACACAAGTCTCATCAGAGGCTCAGGATAGATCGGAGCATGATTGGAGAGCCTACAAATTTTCGACATACAGGTCATATCAGTAGCGATGACTTCAATATGACTGGAGATTGCTTATCTACTATTCAAGAAAGAATGCAACATAAAGGTGGTTATGACACTTCCTTTAGCGTTAAGGTAATTATTAATTTATTTTTAACAAATAAACTTAATTATTCTCTTTTTGATAGCACATGCACATACATATATTCATTTGTTATTGTTTTAGGCATATTGATACGCATTAAAAAAAGTATTTGAACTGCCAGAGTATTATTGGAAGAAATGAATCGACTGACGTTTTTTTATTAACGATGTATTCGCTTCCTGACTTAATAGTAATACAATGCACTATGCGCAATTATGTATTTTATAAATCTTTTTTTGTTGTTGTTTATACAATTAATGTCAATAGAGAGTATACTCTTAGATCTTCATTACTTTTTTTATAAAGACAAGATCTCAGAAAAAATTAACGATTATTCTTATATGATTGCCAAAAATTGATTAAAAGAGTGTCATCTGATTTATTACATGGACTTGTAAGATTACGAATGTATTTATATATATTAATGAATTCTTCTATGTTGATTTATACTTTGAATATTTTTATCTTTAAGTGTAACCTTATAAATATAATAAATGATTGTATATAAAAGAAACAAAAACAACAAATAATAAAATTGTAATACAGTCTTGTAATTTAAATGTATTTTAATTGAATGAAAATATTATATAAAGTATAATTATAGAAAAAAAAACAAAATTTAGAAAAGAATATAAAATTCTATTGCATTTAACGATTTAGTTCCCGAAATATCCCTATGTGATTAAAACAACAAAATTCCTAAAATTTAAATATCTTCTTCTATAAAGAATGATTCCAAAGTTTTTAATGTATCTCTCTCTCTCTCTCTCTCTCTCTTTTTCTCGTTGATAAATTAATTACAATATATTAAATTATTAATATTTATATTTATTTATGTCAAATGCATTATATTGAAATTCTATCTTTATTATATCAAGTAGGAATCTTTTAAAAAATTTGAAAAGACATTGATATTAAGTTGAAAAACTTATTATCACAGTATATTTAAAAAAAAATATATTATAATTAACATTCATTTTAAAAGTTCCTATTTTTAACGATATTTTTAATATGCGTAATATTATAATTATTAGTAATTATTGTTATTGTCCATGAAAAATGAGGAATAGTTAGGACTTCGAACCGTAAGTGACTGCCACGTCACTGACAATTACCACTATACTCATAACTGCAGTTAGTTACTTCGAGATTCCTCCATCAGTGTTCTCAGTGGGGAAGACATTCTATGTAAACACACTGTTGATCTCGATTTTAAATAATCTCCATTTTTTCTTCATATATTATTGTAATTAATTGAAAATTAATTATGGCACGTGTACTTGTAGGTGTTAAAAGGGTAATCGATTATGCGGTCAAGGTAAATTTGAACTTTTAGGATATTAAAACATAGAATTACTTTAATTAACAATAAAAAGAAACAAAAAAAAGGTAAATTTATCTTATCTTTACGTTTTAACAAATTCGATCTTGTCTAAGATCATTCATTAATTTATAAACCAATGAAACACTTGTTGCAACATAATGTAATTTTATATTTTTATGTATAAATTAATCATTTATTATTATATATATATATATATATATATTATATCATTTATTATATTATATAAATATTTTTTGTCCAAATATAGTTAATAATTTAAAAACTGTTTTTTTTGTAATTAATACTTTAATCCATCATTTTTTTTAGATCCGTGTCAAACCAGACAAAACAGGAGTCGTTACAGATGGAGTCAAACATTCAATGAATCCTTTCGACGAAATAGCTGTTGAGGAAGCTATAAGAATGAAAGAAAAAAAATTGGTACAAGAAGTCATTGCTGTTACATGTGGTCCTACTCAAGCACAAGATGCTTTGAGAACTGCGTTAGCTATGGGTGCTGATCGTGGAATACATGTGGAAGTATTGCCAGCAGAATACGAAACTTTGCAGCCAATTCATGTGTCTAAAATTTTTGCTAAACTTGCTAAAAATGAGAAAGCTGATTTAATTATTGTTGGAAAGCAAGCAATCGATGATGATAACAATCAAACTGCTCAAATGATTGCTGGTAATTTGGATTGGCCAGTAGGAACATTTTGCAGTAAGGTATTTTAGTTTTTGATATAAATGATAAACATCTGTAAAGATTTATGGATTTATATTAATTTAAGATATCAAGATGTTTAATTATTAGATTGAATTCAGTTTACTTTTGAAATCATTTTATTTATCGTTAGATCGAGCATGGTAATGGTGAATTGACTATTACTCGAGAAATCGATGGGGGATTGGAAACTCTCAGGCTAAAAACTCCAGCTATTCTCAGCACTGATCTTCGTCTGAATGAACCACGGTATGCCACATTACCAAATATTATGAAAGCCAAAAAGAAACCGATCAAAAAAATTAGTCCAAAGGATCTTGGTATAGACATATCACCAAGAATTGAGGTTATTTCTGTAGAAGAACCACCAATTAGACAAGCTGGTTCTATAGTACCTGATGTTGATACTTTAATAGCTAAACTAAAGGAACGTGGACATCTTTGATATCTTCCAAATAATATATGATATAGAAGATTATAAATATTTTTTGTGCAATGAATTTTATTATATTTTTCTGTATATAACATATGCCTTATGTACATTATTGGAATAAATAAAATCTATATTATATATTTTCATAAATTTTGTACCATGTGGAGGCATAATCTTCTCTCTTTGTCATTTATTCTTTTTTATTATTTTAATAAAATATTATTATTATATATATATACTTATATGTCTTTGGTATACAATATACTTTAAACATGTCTTTTGAAATTTTATATATACAATGGCTAATCAATTAACAAACATTTGTTCAAAGACAATGTTCGCAGTCTGAACTGTTCATTAGCTGATCACTCACTGCATATATACATGTAATAGTTTTTGGGAAAGAACATTAGAATTATTGTCCAATAAATAGATTTTCAATTTTTATAACTATAATAAATAACATAGTTATGTTGTTTCTGATTTTTTTACTAATAAAATTTTTTGTTGTGCCTTGATAACAAATAGAACTTGAATAAAATATAACATAATTTATAAAGCCACCTTTGTAAAAACAGCACTACGATTCTGATATAAAATAACAATTGTATCAATTTACATTAATATTGTCAACAATGAAATTACAAGTAACAGGACACAGTTGATAAAGTTATTTACTACTGATTTTTTTCATTATTTACATTGAAAAATTGATGTTAAATCGTTCAGTTGTTTACATTTAAAACTAATAAAATAAATTATTTTCATATAAGACTTACGATAAATTTAAATGCAGGTACAACATAAGTACATTTTAACGAAGTGTATGTATATTCTATGTATTAAAATTAATATTTCTCTTCTGCAAAAGCGCAGTTTAAACTGCAAACATTTTATATTCATTATTTATCAATATTCTTAATCTCTAAATAATAAGAATGTGCGTTTCTCGTATTGTAAACTTTTAAATAGGATTGCTCGATTCATTCATTTCAATATATAAACTATACTTATAAAAAATTCATTGTATCATAACAGTCTTTTACGATCGCAATCCTATTACGTCTTAAATACTAGTTCATTCTTTTACAATAAAACTTTCCAATCAAATTTGCTATTACTAGTATGCGTGATTGGAGGGAAAGGAGGCGCCTGAACTTGCCATCCATTGGATTCTTTGCTAGTAACTGCACATGCCAAGTATGATATTTTTTGAGCTATTTTCGTAATTTCTGACGGTGGTGGTATCTCACCGCCGGTCAATTGTTTAGTTAAAGCTGATAAAGTACTAGCATGACCTACTATGAGAATGTTACCTTTCGTATTTTCAATAATATGTTTAATTAATTTATAGCTTCTTTCATAATACTGCGTTGAAGTTTCTTTTATAGTGAGATCTTTAACTTCAATTATATGATTATATTTTGTATCCACGTTGTAACCTGCATTAATTAATTCTGCGGGAGTCATCCAGGTAGGTACACCAGCTGGATACCATGCTAACCATTCTGTTAAACCTGGCTCAATTTTTATGGGTATGTCTAATTCTAAACCTTTTAAAATATTATTAAGCGTTTGAATACATCTTAGAAACGGCGAGGTAAAAGCTGCATCTACTTGCATTTTAGATGATTTTATTGCATCCCCAATCAATCTTGCTTGTAGTTCTCCAACTGACGTTATAGGACCGTCATGCTTAAATTCATCTATATTTCTTGTTGGTATAACCTTTGGCATATTTAGATCTCTACGTATGTAAGAACCATCTTCAAAGCAATATGGGATCCATTCACCAAATGTAAAATCTACTCTTTCTCCATGACGACATATCACGAGTTGTCTTGCTGGAATTACAGATGACGAAGAAGAAGTGGACTCTTCTATCTGCATAAAGAAGAAATATAAATAAGATATAAATGTTATATCATTATTCTAATTACGAATTTTTTAGATGGTTGAAAAACTTTAATTTAATTACTGATTCTATTTCTGCTCTGGTTGTATCTACAGATTCTTCTATATTTGTACTGCTTATTTGGTGACTCACTTCTTCTTCTTCCTCCACAATATCTTCTACATTATTATTAATTTGTACAGTATAATGCAATGTCCAGGAATCTGATTCAGCTGTTCGTTTTGTGTGATTTAAAGGAAAATTTCCTGTAGCCCCGGTCAACCATGAAGTACCTTCAACCCATCCATCTGTAGAAGAGTTGTATGATTCTTCCATTATGTAAATGTAATCTCCTACTCTTAATTCCAAATCATCATCTTCTCTGGATGTGTACGCGTATATAACTTTATGTACACGGGAATTTTTTAATCTAGAGTCCCGAGAGTATAATCTAAGTTCCCAATTATCTACTGTAGCTGGTTTCAATTTTTCAACCATTGTACGGAGAGGTTGAAACAAGTTGCTGGGAAACTGATAAGCCAATGTAAGATGTAACGGCTTAACTTGATGATTGGCAACGATATTAAAGGTTGATAATTTAGCAGCATAATTGGCAGAAATTTTGTTAAGCCATTTAGCATCCTCATCTTTGACAAAAAGTCCCATAAAATTGGATGAAATATATGGTTCCAAATGAACCCTGTTGTAAGGTTCATTGCGATCTATGATATTATTAAGAGAATATACAAATTCTGGTTCTAGTTCGTCTGATACCTGGAAATAAAAACAAAATACTCAATAACATGATGTATAAAGCTTCAATCTAATAGATCAAACAATTAATCATTTTACTTACTTGGAAAAAAGATACAAGCGTTATATGTGGCATATAATTAAGTGCTCCATTCCAACCTAACTGTTCGCTTTCAGCCCAAAACTTTGAAAGAGTTTCAGCTAATGCTCCAGTAGGACAAGCATACAATACATATTGTCTATGCGTAATAAAATCTAAAGTCGGATCTTTGACATGAGCAAGTAACCAGTCAGATGCAAGCTGAATGCCACGGTGTCCGGTGGCAGCTAATGCTTTTTCTCTGTAATCACATAATTGTTTATGTGTAATACAAAAATTCAATTGTAACTTTGCACAAGGAAAATTTAACACATTTAGGTTCAACGAATAAATGAATAATTATTGAACGTCAAACAATATAATTAAAATATTGAAACAATGTATGTGTATCATCATTTATAATAAAAATAATTAAAATATGTGATAACAATAATTTCAGATGGAAGATGAAATGAATGTTAAATGTCATACAATTTGACAGTCGTCTGTTTACAATGACAATTAGTAAACAGAAAGAAAATGTTAAGATTAAATTTGCCCTATTTTGGATGATAAAAATATTGTATTATTGTTAATTTACTCACGCTCGATGTTTCGGAAATCCAAGTTGCAAAAGGGTTTGCAAAGGAGTCATTTGTTGTTTAAAAATCTTCTTCCTTAAGGGATTTTTTCGTGGTGGTAATGTCGCCATGATGATGTACGTTACTTAAGAGTTGTCACTAAACTTCAACTGGATCAGGAATATGAAATCTTATTGACTGGGAGAGGGAACATACCGTTGAATTTTAACTTTGAATTTTATTTAAAATGACCTTTCTTTTCAAATAAATAAATTAAATGTTTGTCGATATAAACGTATATCCTTAGAATTTCTTTCTGTTGGTTTAAATTTACGGATAATTCAACAATATCTTAATGTTTATAATGTAAGAGAATTATCTATACTTCTATTTTTACGGAAATCATGCTTTTATTTTTTTTATCTTTGAACGTATATAGAAAAAAATTATTCATAAAATCATTTCTCTTAGAGATAAATGAAGATAGCTTATAGTAAACAATAACATTTGTTAAGCTAATATTTAATTGCAAATTTGTAATTATCTCGTTTAAAATAAGATAGATTAATAAGATAATCGTCGCAAAGAAAATTTCATAACATCCGCAGGTTTTTGTCCTATTTCAAGGATTATTATATACTATATACCTATTGGTCAATTCCGATGGAACCAAAATGTCTTTCGTTCTCCAAATAGAATAAGATTGAATTATTCGATTTCTATTATAATCCAGTGGAATATCCAATAAGATTATTCGATGAATAGTAACAACGTTTGCTTTGTATGAAGTATTATTATTATTATTATTATTTTATTATATAAAAAATTTGAATTTTACTAATTATATCTTCATATATTGGTGCATGAATAAAAATTTATACGAATGAAAATGAATTAGATAATAGAGTACGAAAAGAATATAGACAAAAGTTTTTGATCAATGTATTTTACAATATACAATATCTTAAAAACCTTTCTGATTTAGTAACAATGTTTTTTCTATACTAAGTTAACATTAATAATAGTAATTATATTGTTATTATATACTATCAAAGTAGATTTGACAAATAGTAAGTACGGATTTTTAGTCAGGTAGAGAAAATTAATTTCAATTCTCCGTATTTTAATTAGCATTAATTTATATTATATAATATATTTAATTAGCTCACGTTTCATATTGTATAAATTATTTAATGTAAGTGACATATATAAATATATGTATACGTGGCTGAGATTATAGTATAAAAATACTATTTGTTCATCATTTTATAAGAAAGAGCATATAATATGTATTATAATATATTATATATAATATATGAAATAATAGTAATAATAATAATAATAATAATAATAATAATAATAAATTAATTAATTAATTAATAATTACTTAAGGCACACCTCGTACACAAAATAATAATTTTCCACGAATAATAATTTGTTTTTTCTTCGTTATCAAACATATACTTCGAGATAATTCGAACAATGGCGCGTGCATATACATACCATCGTGCACTACAGCGTTAATATTGTTTATATTTAAAGTTAGTTTTCAAAAGAAACAACGATATGTAAAATTTATACATTTTACACATTCGTTAGACAATATCCTGGCTTATTAACATTATTTGCGACCATGATATCACCCCGATAATAATAAAAAAAGTTACACTGCATTCACACATATAGAAAATATAACACTTCTTGTAAATGTATTGTAACTACTAATTACATAGTACATGTTACATACACATACATACATGTGCCGGTAATTATGTTTATAATGCGTTAAACAATTAAAAATAATTTATTATGATTTTTTTTATATTATAGAATATAAATAATAGGAATATATTAATTTTGTTAATATTTTTTATTTACTATACTGTATGCCATAATTACTGACACGTATGTAGTTATATATATACGATACATATTTATTGCTTAAAACCGCGGAGATCTTTCAATTGATCATAAAATCGATCCTTTGAAATCAATACAAAATACGAACTAACAATAAGATTGTAAAAGAATACTACGAATAAACAGGAAACTAACAGGAGTATCACGATCGGTAAGAAAATAATAATGATTTTTATAAAATAAAAAATATTTAAATCGGAAGTTAATATTATTCCTCCCATATCTTAATGTTTTATTTTGTCATTTTGACACGCGTGTACAAAATTTCAAAGAAAAGATTGAATTATGATTGATTCGTTGTTTTTTTCTACAATCTGTACAAAATGTGTTTTCCTCTACATTTTTAAATTATTGTAGAAGTTTTGTTTATCAATACTGCGATGTATGAAAACAAATAAATTTGTAAATTATAAAATGTGAACATAAATTTGTCAATTTTTATGATATTTATAATTTAAAGCACACCAAAAATGACGCGTACGTGTATCTAAACGGAAATCGATGTATTACTATTGCTATATTTGTCCTTCTTTTAATGTCTCGATTGGCACCATTGGTTTTCTTGTCATTTGTTCCCATACTCTTCAATTTGTAATCCTAATCGTTCCATACTGACATAATGATCGATCATTCATATAACTTTTTAATTACAAAGATTATATTTCGCAATGAAATGATGTCGTTCGTTTATAAAATTAGGAGGGGAGTTCGTTGCTAAAATTAGCAAAGGAGTATTGGATGCCGTTTTTATTCATATTTCGACAATTTACATGGAAAATCATTCTATTGTGATTTGCGACACTTTTTTCAAGTGACATTTTTCATTTTAATTGCATAACGTATATACAGGGTGTTTCGTAATATAAGGAGTGAACAGGAGGATACTTAAAACAATGAAACAAAGTTTATCTAAACATGTGTCATATTTGATTTTATTTCTAAGGTACTGTCACTTTTGCGTCCCGATAATACGCAACAACTAATCGTCATAGAAAGTGTCATTTAAATAATCACTCTAGGTTTGAATTTATCACACATTCTGTTGATTAAATTTAGTTATTCTAAAACCAGAATAACTAGTTAACTAGTAACTCAGTTCATTTTCAATACCCGACTCTCTTACTAGAAGTATTTTATTATTTTTTATTTGCTATGCGTTCAAAGTTACAAGCGAGTAATTAGATTTGTATTTTTGAGCTTATTTGAAATTAATTGTATATTTGATACCCCACCCACTGCATTGAAGAACTTCGAGCGCGTATACAAGAAGGCTGCTAACGGATTTGATGTGTACCTGGAATTTTAAAAAGATTACGAAATTTGATGAAACGACGATTTGAAATATGGATGCAATCCGAAGGTCCTCATTTGGAGCATCTTCTATGAAGATAAACTATCGAAAATTATTAAAACACAAAAGTGACAGTAACTTTGGAAAAGAGTTAAATACATTTGTATGAATTATTTTCATTGTTTTTATTTGGGTGTTCTGTCCACTTTTGAAAATGTTCATATATTTAACGTCATTAAATTACCGATATCGATTTGGCGAGGCAAATTTTTAATATAGATACTATTTATATATTATAATAATATTACTTATGAAATATGTGGAAAGACTAGCGCATTGATTTTACATTTTAGATTTATATTTAATATATTGAATATTTTAGTTGCATAAATTGGGCTATGAACACATTTGTTCATTATTCGATTGAAGTTAAATTAAGAAAAATTGTAATTGTGCAATCGCATAGTTCTTCATAAATTCCATTTTGTCGGGTTTTAGCTGTAAAATTAGTTCGGCTGGAAAAATTTAACAAAAAGTGTAGCAAACTTACCGTCGAATTCTTCGATTTAATACTATTCACATTAGTTCATTAAAGAATAAGTTCTCGCGTAAATCGCAAAGTTTTATAAAAATGTGTGAAATCCCCGGTTTTTTTATTTCTTTTTTTCTTTTTTTTAATCAAACATACAAGTTCGTCAATTTATTATTTCATATCGCAAAAGTTTATAAATAAAACGATGCTCCTTTTCCTTTTCTATTTCCTATCGAGTTCTATTTTTTAGGTGCTAACCTAAACAAATTTAAAAATGCAACATTATGTAAAATTCAATCGAAATATTCGCATAATAACAAACTATTGCACGTTACTCTCATGTCTTTATTATTTTACCTGTAATTGTTCAAATATACTAAATCACGATTAAGTTATTCAAGAATCGACAATGATTACTAATTTCGATAAATGAACAATACAAAAATGGATTAATTTCCAGTTTTGTTCCTTTTTTTGGGGAAAGTTCGTCAGAAATGAATTTTCGATCAACAAAATTGAAGTTGTATGCCTTGTTTAAATTGAGAAATTGCAATTGTTTTGTTATTTTTGATGATATATTATATATCATCGGTGAATTGAAAGAGTCACATGCCTTCGATCGGTCGCATCTCAAACAGTTATGTTAGTACGTAAGAAAAGTATGCGACTTTCGCGTGGTCGTCGTCGTCGTTGTTGATAGTGTCACGAAAGATCTACTTATAATAAATCAAATTAAAAGATACATAAATAATCATATGTAAGAATGATCTTTGTTCGATCCATCTTTGAGATAAAAGAAAATTTATCCTATCTATGACGGGAAATAGAAAGAGAAAGAGAGAGAGAGAGAGAGAGAGAGAGAGAGAGAGAGAGAGAGAGAGAGAGAGGGAGAGAAACTCACTTGTCACGTTTAGTCCTATTTGTGAATTACGAAAAAGTCGAAGAAATGAGAAAAGTAATCGGGTCTCGTTTTAAATTTCTTCGACTTTTCGTTTTCTCCTCGACTGGTTCGTGGCGCCATTTTGGTGCTTTGTAATCCTCGTCGATAAATCTTTCCTTTCATTTTCCTTCGAGTCTTCTTCCTCTTTCTCCTCTTTTTCTTAGTTTTCCCTTGATCCTTCCTCCTTGATTTTGACTTCATGAAATTTCTTTTCCTTTTGTCTCGGAGACCCTTTGAAAAAATGTTCCGACGTTTTGCGACGATACAGGGAGACTCGAAAATGCGAATTACCTTTGACAACGTTTAGCCTGTGTCACTCTCTGTCTTTGCTAAGATCGGAAGGCAAATCTGAAGACGCTGAAGCCGAGATTGGTGATTTCGGTGACGGAGATGACAAATTCGTTCTCGGCAATGAAAGACCCGCAGCACTCATTGCCACGTTTAGTGGTATCGTGATGAACGGTTGATTTCCTTGCGACGAGTTCACCGATGTTGTTGTACCTGAAGGTAAACAAGTAGAGGTATCGTTCTTATCCTAAATTGTGTACAACATTTCTTTTTCTTATCGTTTCAAAATCAAATATATTACGTGTCAACTTCAAACAGGATTCTAACGGTACGATTTCTTCTGTTTTTTTACATTAGTTTGTATTTACGGGAATGGATCGAAAAGTTTTCAACTTTACATAGGAAGCCAATTTTTTTCCTTCCAACTCACTTTTATTTTTTAGCAAAAATAAATAAATGTTTTTTCCTGTTGCGGTTCTCTAAATTTGTCAAGCCACCTTAGAATTAGTTCGAATTAACATAAGAACTGTGAACTCAACTTTCTTTCTTTTCGTTTTATTTTTCAATTATCCTTTTAAGCATTTGAAGAATGTGATGGTAGTGCAATAAAGTAAGAGCTCAACCTCGTGTTCTTTTTTATTTTTTTGTTATTATAAGAACCTTGAAGAATGAAAGAATACTCTTGTGAACCTGAATAAAATATTCTTCAGTAGATGGAATTCTTTGTTATTGTTCTAAAGAGGGGTAAGAAAAATTTAAACAGCTGACGGATAAAACCTACCTCCGTCTTGGGAAATTTGCACGGGTTGACCGTTTTGTCCAATACCGAGCAAAACGCCCGGACTGGGCGAATAAATGACACTTTGTGGCATCTGGTACATAATTCCGGTTGAGAAGGAAGGCATATTACCTGAAATAAAAAAAGAAAAAATACAGTTTTACGGGGCTTCACACGCGAGTACGTATTGTATAAGGATGAGAAGTATTGAGTCTCATCAAGCAAAACAAACTTCTACTCATTTTAAAATAAACATTGTTTTTAAATAAGGTTCGACACGTAAAAAGAAGACATAATTTCAAGATATTTTCTATACGAGTTTAGCAAACTTTTAGTCAGTAGTATAGATGAAGGAATATTTAGGTAAGCATTTAATCGTATTTGGGAAAATGTATAAAAAAAAAAAGAAAATATTCTTCGTGCGAAAGTACTTCAACTTAGTATCAAAATTCAGAGGAATAAGATTCTACTCCTCGGGTCAATCAATCTTACCTAATAAGGATTCGTAATAACCTTAGAAGGGAATTAGCGAGTTAGTTAGTTAGTTGCGTCATCATTCCCACATTATATCGTGGTTTTAGAAAATTGATCTCCAACATAGATATAAGTAAAGAATAATTTGATTTAACAAAATTTCTATTTTTCACGTAAAAGGGCTAGCGTTAATTTTATTGTAATCCCTTTATGGCGTTTTCTCGAAACAATGCGACTCTTTGGCCTCCCTCGCTTTCTCGATTAGCCGTAAAAGGGCGAATGAATGTTCCTTACGACCAATGAGAGATTTCATCATCACCTACTGTCTCTTATCACGCGGTGCGTAATGGAAACTAAGAAAAAATATGAAAGAACGAATGAACACGAAAGAACGTAGGTATATACACGATAAATGGCATTCACTTGGCTGCATTAGCATCGGATATTTATGTGTGCACCTGCAACAGAGCGTGGCGATCGTACACACACACGCATACATGCATAATTATTTACATACATACACATAGGTTGGCAATTTTAATTGCATGCGCGTTCTATCTCTCCTACCATTGACATAGAACTTTTCATAAAAATGAGAAAGCAGTATAGCTGCTCTTTCAGAAGGTTAATCTTTAAAACATTTTCACACGATTCTCCACGACAACATATCTATCAGAATGATTTAGATACTATTCAGATACTTTGTAAACTCCTTCCTACTTATTTCTCTTATTTTTCAATTTTAGTTTTATGTATATATATATATATATATATATAATTAGAGTTTATGTATACTTTATTTTACTTATTAAAGTAAAGAAATAAAGTGATATTGAACTTTCGAACTCGAATGTGAGTAATACAATTATTATCATACGCAATAACAAATGTTTTTAATTATTTATTTACATATTCACTTATGCAGTGCATAATAAAATACAAGCATGATCTTTCCTATTGTTTCGACTAATTAAAATAACGAAAATAAAAAGAAACGTGGGAAAAGGAGAAAGAAAGAGAGCAATAAGATAATCAATTATGTTGGCGGTAAAATTAGAACGGTCATTTCTGTTTCGAATTGATGCCGATCAGGAGACAAAACGTGGTATCGTCGGGTAATTTCGCGTCATTTCGTAAATCTTTTCTCGGACGATGGACCACCGGAGTGGAAGGCCGTCTCAGAGGCCGTCTCGGAGGACGTCCAAAGGCCGTCTCAGAGGCCGTCTCAAAAGCTGTGATCTGAGCCCTTTGATCGACTCTCCTCGATAATAATCCTCCCGAAAATGACTCCTTTTGGTACTGAAGGAAAATACTTAGACATAATATCAAGGTTTAGCGCGGGAGCGTAAATGTTGGAAAAAGCGCGAAACGTCAGAGCGGCGATCGGATGGGCATCCACTCGGTGTACATTAGCATCGATATTTATGTGTACACCTGCATCGAAGCGCGGCTTTCGACCGGATCCTACTTCCCAGTTAGGAGGCGCGTTGTCGTCTTAGTTTGGTCATCGCGGACCGTACGACTCCTTACGGACTCCCCTACACGGATAACCCCGTCATCGCTCGCACGCTTTTCGCATTTTAAGTCTCCTCTCTCTTTATCCCTCTCTTTATCTCCCACTCTCTCACTCTCCCGCTTCTCCTCATCCCCGTTCCTTTCTCCTTTCTTAACATATCCTCTCTCTCTCTCTCTCTCTTTCTGTTTATTTTTCTTTTCTTGTCTTTATCTAGGAGGCCTGTGAGTGACTACTGCTAACCTGTCTACTACCTGGCGTTCGTTCGTTCGTTCGGTCGTTCGTTCGGTCGTTCGGTCGGTCGTTCGGTCGCTCGTTCTAACAATTTTCCACGGTAGTCTCTTAGGAGCCTTCTTACGATCTCTCAACTCGAGAGATTCGAGACACGCCCACGAGGGAAAAAAATCGGTGTTACCCAATCAGGTGATAATCCTGGCACTTAGGCAGCCCTTCGCTTCGATCCTTTCTCCCTCCCTTTCCGAATCATCATCGGCCATCGCTGGCTTTCTAAAACACTTTAGAATTTACGATCGAGATCGCTTCGATATCGAATCCTATGCGATCAGCTTTAACTTCACTCTTTGTACGTGTAAGCCATATAGGATGTTTCATAATGGATCTTCCTATTCGATTTTATTGAAAAGGTCATCTATGGGGCTTTGGCTAGTTTTTTATTTTGTTTTTTAAAACTAGGACTTTGTGAGATCATGTTGAGATCAGTTGCATATAGGAAATTGTATTAAACAATTTTTGTACGTAGGAATGACTAAACTTAACTTCTTAGCTTCTTATTCGGAGTGGTAAAAGTAAATCGTTAGAGAAACAAAGTCGTTTAATCGTGAAGGATCCTGAAATTCTCATCATTTATAATATTTCTTGACATTAGAGCGATACTTATATGCTGTGCTCTTATTTGTTTCAATTTGAAGATGTACGTGATTGCATTACAGAAAACTTGTTTTTTATTGGTTTCTTTCAAAAGTTTTGCAAAAGAATCTTTTTTTTATTGCACGTTCAACATTTTAACATAATCAATCGTATAGATCAAATCAATGTTGTAATAATATGTATACGCAATGAAAATGATAAAATAAATTAGACATTTTGAACAATATGCCTCAACTTTTACTGCTCGTTTTGAAATCCTTCAAAAATAAAAAATATATTTTTAATTTTGATATTTTATTTAAACGCGAAGATTCATCGATGATCCTTGTAATAGTGTAAAACAAGCGTAAAATGATTTTATTTGGCTCGTTGGTTTAACAGGCGCGATAACGTCATGTAATTACTGGTATCGCGCGTCTGCACTTAACGGCCTACCGCAGTGGAACGTATATAATTCATAACGCAATTAATATCATTTTCATTACATTGCTAAGGACTGTTTTCAAGTGTCACGACATATCAGGCATAGTTCGAACCCTTGTCGGGATATATGAACGCAAGTAATCACACATACAGGGTGTCCCAAATAATGAGGATTTGATTAACACACATCTAAAAAGAAGAGAAAAAATTGTATGCAAGATTTATCAAGAAATGTTTGGTTACAAAATTATGCACGAATTTTGTATAATAATAAATAAATATAAACCTTGACGCAACCCTAACGCAACTCTTACATCTCACGATTTTTATTTATGCGGGAGTTCTCAAGCAACAAATTTTATACTACAGAAATTACTTCACACTACTGAGATGAACATAGGGTAAATAATTAAAAATGTAGTATCATTGAAACTCACAAACTACGTTCCGTTATTAAAATCATATGTATTTGTGTTAGTATTCTTAAATAATCCAGTTTTCCTCTTATTCCAGGTAAAATTTATAGTCTTACAATTTGAAAAGAAAATGGAGGGTGCTATTGATAATGGAAGTAATCAGTTTGATGATTCAAATAAATTGCTGATATTTTTATTCTTCCTTATGATGTAAATGAGTTGTGCTCATGTTGTTTGATCGTCTAATTTTGGAACATTTAGTATAAATTTAAATGTTCCCTCTTTCGTTTATAATGAAGCGTGTGTAAGTAATGTTATCTGAATTTACGAGGTTCGCACAAGATACGAGCTTTCGTTCGAGAAAAGGAAGGATACAATGGAGAATAGAAAATATTGTGAGCAAGAGAGAAAGAAATATTTAGTCGAATAACAAATTTCTTCGTAGATGAATTCAGGATCGCATAACTTTGATAATACTAATCGAATCTGTGAATACTTGCATGTGTTTCAAAGCTGACGCATCATAGAGTAATTAACAAAAAAGTTGTGATGATCGTTCATTCGGTGAAAAATTATTGCATTTTTAAAATTAGTGATAAATAAAGAAATATAATTCGATCTAACTTTGAAATTTTATAAGAAAAAATAGGAGAACGTTGATAAAATAATTGATGATGTTTATGAACACGATGCAGTAATCGATACGAAACTGGTTTATGCGTTTTTAATATGAAAATTTGGACGTCAAAGATGTACCTCGGTCTGGTCGACAAGGAACGACAAGAAAAAATCGAGCAAGATCGGTAAATTGGCAGTTGAGAAACCGTTTAAAGTTCAATTACAAAACAATGATTATTTGGTTCGATACAAAATATGAACAATACTTGTTTTATTTTTGCATTGAAATAGAAAAAAACCCTATGTATTCAATCGAGTAAAATAAAAAAATAAAACAAATTTGATTGTAAAATGACGTGCAAGGCATAGTTTCTCTCGTCGATTTAATAATCGCATACTTTCATCGTGATAAACTAATTCGAAATTAGAATAGTCGATGATCACGCTAACATCATTGTTAGTATATCCACATTTAATTGTTGAGAATACACATTTTTCTTATTGCAACTGCAAATTCCTTCTCTTTTTTTTGCTTAATAATGAAGGAAATTTCTTAACCCTATTCAGTATTTCTTTTTACTATTTTAATACGTCAAAAACGCGGACGTAAAGAAAGTTTACTTCGAGGAATAATTAAACGATTCCTGTTAAACTTCAACTGAGGAAATGTTCATCAGAATAGAATTATTTATTGTATTTTCCGAAGCGGAAACTTTTCTTATTCCTTGAGTAAAAACTTAATTGACGGAAAAAAGTTTCGAACAGACTTAAGTTATTTATCTTCGGATAATAAAGTACATACTTGAAGAAATATTTTATGAAATTTAGCAACTTTGATAAAATGTATAAAATGGATGAAATGGTTCAAATCAATAAAATGGATAAAATTCAATAGGATTGAAAGAGACAGAACCAATCGTACAGTGTAAAATCGAGAACGTGGGAAGGTCATTTTCCCCAAGAGTCTACGTACATACTATTATTGCTTATAAATTCAAAGAAAATATATCGATCAAAATCGAAGCAGATCTATGCCATAGGATTCCTTAAGAACTTCAATTTAACGTTTCGTCTATATTTTTTACTTCGTTGATACAAATATTTGGATAATGGAAAGTTTCGACAGTGCGGATGGTAAAACGTTCAAATATTAATCGTTGAATACTGAAGATTCCACTGTACTTGGATACAAAAACAAAACTAAATGCCTAAAATATTGTAGATGTGATATAATAGTACTGGTTCTTGTGAAAACTTATTATTTTCAATTTGAAGGATGATCTGCTGAATTCTGGTAACAGTTGAGTCTAATAAAATACGTGTGAAAATAAAGGAATGTAAACAACCTAAACTATTGGATGATAGTATATATGCAAAATTGTAATTAATCATATGAATGTGTACCTGAATGATTTTTGGCGAGGTCTTTAGAAACCGGTGAATCGCCGTCGCTTGTATCACCGTCGCTCTCGTTTGCGCAGACATCCGATCTGGGTGACGTTCCGTCTTCCTGTAAACAAATCAAATCATTTCTAATGTTATTATAATAAACAAAAACAAAATTCAGTTTGATAATTTGAACTGTAAAAGTACTAAGTACCAGACAAGAAAATTGCATTCATTCTTATTTACTTTAGTTTATTTTACTATTAATATTATATTTGGTATAAAACCAAACAAATTCTCCCGTATCTCTTTAAACGTAACAGTAAAATATCTTAAATAGAAACGAATCTTAGAAACTATGTTTCGATCGATAACAATGGCTCGTTGAAGCTGCGTGAAGTACTTGTAGATATATATATAAAATATAAAACTTATGAGAATTTAACAGTTCGTGCCAATTTTTACGTAGACAATAAACTTTAAAAGACAAAAGAATCGTAGAATGTAAATATATTTCAAGAGTTTAACTGGTAAAAGATATTGTCAGTAGTTGTTTGTTTGTGAGACTTTAATGAAAGAGAAGAAAGGTTGCTAGGATTATATTGCATTGTCAAAATAATATCTCGAAAAACTTTGGTGCGACCAGGAAGATTGGAATCATTGAAATCAGATTTTTTTCGATGCTTTTGCTTCGATATTGTTTTAAGAGATATCGAAAATCAGCTGGAACTCTTTCTTATTTGATATTATTCAATACATTTGTGTATTATTTTTACTCAAGTGATTTGGATCGTTCGTAAGATAGTTGTATCGGTATCATATCGATACGAGAAGTAAGAATTGGAAGTAAAGGATAAATGAAGTATGAGATTTCCGAATAAAATTCTCTAACGTCCACGCAAAACGGTTTATAGAACCATTTACCAACGTCCGACGATACACCTACAAATTTCTGCATCCTAGTATCTCGCATATAAGTATAAATATATGTATATGTGTATGTATGTATGTATACACCTAGAACCACCCACACGCAACTCTTCCAAACGAATTCCTTCTCTCTCTTACAATCCGAACGCGTCGAACAAAATACTTTCACTCATCGGAACCTTCGACGTCCACCGACGTTTTAGCTTCTTCCCTCGTAGCATAAGCACGTAAGTCCGTCTAGTAAGAAAATTTCATGATTTATTAACGTTATTTTCAATATAAAAGCAATCCCATCGATCAACCTTTCGATATTTTCTTCTTTCAAAGTGAAGGATTTCGCGCGGAAAACATCCTGTGTTTCTTTCTCTCTTCTTCTTATTCTTATTCTGACTACTGAAAAGTAAAGGAAGAAGGAGGAAGCGAATGAACGAAGTTAATACGTTAAGTAGTAACGCAGACTTTTTTTTGTAAATGCGTGCGCGTATGTGTATGTAGTACGTACGTTAGATACGTACGTAAGGAAGCAAGCTAAGAGAGGAAGAAGAAGAAGAAGACAAAGTAACGAAGGAAGGAACGAAGCAACGAAGCAAGGAACAAACCAAGCTCTACCTAGCGGGGAGAGATGCGCGAGCTTGTTCGCGCTCCTTATATGGCCATCCAAGCAGTCTGAACTCGGCAATGCGTTTCCAGAAGAGATTCTCACAAATTTACGCGGTACTACGTTTCCATCGCTACTTTCTACTCTCCCCCGCGCTAGAAGATACCTTTTTGCCGTTTACTACTACCGAGAGGATACATACTCGAAATGGGGGGAAGAAGAAACGGCGACCTAAACGCCCGCTCTCGCTTACATACACATATCTACTTTATAGAGAAAAAATAGATGCAACCATTCCCTCCTCTTCCTTCTTCTTTTCCTCCTCTCTTCTACACCCCGTTCGAGTAACCCGTGCGAGTAACCCGTGCGAGTAACCCGTGCGAGAATTCACGATGAGTATACTTCAAACCGAATCCCTCTTTCGAGGTTATACTACTCCGTCTTTGGAGTCACTACTTCTTCTTCTTAGTCTTCCTTTTTATTTTTTATTTCTTTTTATTCTTACTCGCGTCAACTTTGAGTAGCTTCAAGATAGCGAGAGAGAGAGAGAGAGAGAGAGAGAGAAATTGACTTATTGTGGTTGATAACTCGCGGTAGATGGTACGCGTTGCTCGTAATGAGCGGAAAGGATGATCGTGGGTGATCTCGAGGAGAGTCAGAGGGAAGGATTTCGTGGAATACTCCATTTTATGATTATTGTTTTTACGTAGATTACCTTCAAAATCTATTTTCCGTTGTTTGTTGTAGGCATTTTTTCAATTGACTTTTTTGTTTATTTTCTTCTGGGGGATCGAAGATAAATGAAAAATTGAATATAATATCGGCAATAAGTGCAGGTAAAAAAGATTGAAAGTGACAAGGAACGATTAACTCGAGCGGATTCCACTAAGGTTTCTGGCTTCGTTCGAGTTATTATTCCGGTGGGTCTCCTGAACGTTCGCCGAGTCCCGTTCCGCGGAATTTAGTGAACCAGTGCGACCGCCAATATCGGACCACTTCCTTAATGCGTTACGAACTCGTCGCTGACGTTACTCCACGTATCCCATATTTCCATGGGACAATTTTTTTCATAGCCCGGTTGACCAATCAAATCTATAACTACATATTTAACTTAAACAGGACAAAATTGCTTTTTAATTTCTTTCCCCTTTTTTTTTTTAATTCAACTTTTGAATATTTCTAGACTAATTGTAAGTTTAAAAAACTCAAGATCATTTATCAAAAGATTATGTACCAACGTTTTACCTCGTCTCTACCCTTCGGGAATTATTTCCATTAGAAAATGGAGCGAGGCCGATGAAACGATCTCTCATGTTTTCCACTTAAAATCAACACCGATCGCCTTGTAAAAAGGAAATCCTATCGATTGCTAATCGACGAATGAAACTTATTCGAAATTCCTAAATTATCCAAATTTAATGAATACACAGCGTTGAAATCATTTGGAATTTTGTTACGTAAAATGATGTGTATGAAACGTAAACTAACAAAAGGAATATTTTTTAAGTTATACTTTTTTTTCTATAGAAATAATGAGAGAGAGGGAGAGAGAGAGAGAGAGAGAATGTCAGGTTTACCGAAAAAGTTACGCAAGTTGATTTCTCACTTAAAATACATGCATACATAGATACAAACAAGAGAACGATACCTACGAGCGTGTGCCTACGCCGCAACCACAAAACACGAGCTGAAAATTATATTCCTTGCGAGTTTGTTCGTAATAGGCAACAGCGTCGTTCCGCTTCAACATCATCGTATATCATTCTTCTTCGTCTATTTTACCGTATTCTCTCTTTCTCTCTCTCTCTGTAAATCCTTTTTTTCCTTTTCTTACTCGTTCTATTTTTCCACCCCTTCCACTACTACTTTTTTTTTGCTGCATGTAATTCTTTTTCTTTCCACGCACGTTGGTATTACGTCCTTAAGAGGAAGAATTTTAGGAAATAGTGAATTATCGACGCAACAATCTACATTTTTTTTCTAATTACAATTTATAATCCTAAAAGTGTAAAAAATAGTTTCAACCGTTCAAGGCCTTTAACACATATTATGTTGAAATTTAGTTTCAATCTTAGAAAATTTATTCTAACTCGTGAAATTGTTATAAAGATAAATATTCAATTTTTAATCAACTTTTGCTAACCGAAAAAGATATATTTATAAAATAAATAAATTGCCTCTTTATTATTAACATTAAAAATTGGGCTTTGAAAAGTTTAACGGAAAAGAAGAAGCATAAAAATGACATAACGTTTCGACCTCTCAATCATTCTACAATTTAAGATTTACCTTAAGCCATTATTAGTCGATTTTCATTTTTATCTTTTATCGAAAAGTGGTTAAGGGAACGTGTCTACCGTACTATTAACATCTACATCTATCTATTCGCATAGATTCGCCGATTATTCGAGTCTATCGTTATTCTTATAATCTTAAATAAGCATGTATGTATTGCAAGCAAGAGTTACGAGAAATTTATTGCGTTATAAAGACGGATAACAATAGACTAAATAGTCACGTTTGGAAAGAATGGAAATGTTCAATAATATTGAAACACAAAATACTTAAAGTGAATAATGAATCGAACTTAGCACAAACGAAATGGGGAGTGAATTTTGAAAATTTTTGTTCCAAAACATTGGACACAAAATTTCATTCGCACTAATTGAAAGAAAAATAATGATGTTGCGGTGATGTTTAAATTGGTGATCAAAGTTTCCTAATTGAAAAGAATTCTAATTACTGATCCTCGGTAGGAAAAACTTTATCAGAAACTCAAGAAAAAATTGTAATTTTGAACATCAATCCAAAGAAGTTCGTGATCTATAGTCGTCCGTTTACCCCTTCATTCCCTACTCACATTTATTAGTATCAGTATTGCCTGATAAAAATGTCTTAATTAAAAAAAAAGACTCTTTTAATAAGCAATTTTGATACGAAAGAAGCTTTGTCAAAAAATCAAATAGTACAAACTGGAATAGTAAGCCGAAGAAGTTCGTATACGATAACCATTCGTTCGAATGAATTAGCATTGATATCAATATAGAAAGAGAGATAAATAAATAAATAAATAAATAAAGGAAGTAATATAAAGAGTGTAAAAGCAACGGCAATAGTATATACTATAAGAAAAAGAGTAAAATAAAGTTAAGTAGAGTGGACCACCGGTAGGGTTGTATGGATAAACCGGCTCGGACTTGAGAATAAATCAATGAGAGTTGACAAAAATTGTACGGCCGCGTAATGTTGCTATTGATTTGTTTTTTTTTTGGTCCACTGGTAGAATTAAACGGTAGGTCTGTTTAAAGAGTGTACATAGGTCGTCTTTGTGGTAGTCGTCGTCCTGTCCTCGTCTTCTTGGTCGATCGCTTCCGAGTCACCTTTTCTACCCCCCATTACAGTCGGGCGTGTATAGAAGGCGCGACAAAAAGCGGCATTCCTGACTCTTAAGTCGGATTCTATATAAGTGTCTGCCATCGCGAACATTGCCTGTATATGGCGACAACCGGGCTTTGACAAAGGTGACCGTATATGGTATTCGGCTTCCACCTTCCATACGTGCGTACGCGTCTCCGTTCGTTCCTTTTATCTTCCCT